AGGTCCAAGGGGATCTGACACACTCTCCTGACCTCAGAGGGCATACACACAGACACAGATGCACAAACACAGGCATATGCACAGGCGCACACACATATAAACATACAGACACACAGACGCACACACATACATATACACACACAGACACAGAGACACACACGTAGGCACACACACATGCACAGGCTTACACACAGAGACTCATACACACAGTCATGCCCTCAAACAGGAACACACACAGATTAATAATACATCTTTTAAAGTGCGTAGCTATTAAGCATCATTAGTTTTTATAACAAGAAGAAAAGACCCATTTTGGGATCTTGACACACATAAGCCTTAAAAATTCCCTTGCAGGCACAGAAGTTTTCCTAGAATCCATGGCAAAGGAGTAGGGAAAAAGCCATTAGTTTGTTAATTGTCACAGTGAATGAAACCTACATTCTTTTCTCAGTTTCTCACAGATGTGGTAACAGACACCCAGAGAGGATGGATTGGCAGGGGCATGCTCCTGACCATGATGAGGCTCAGACTGGTCCTGAACTAAGTGATGCAGGGGGTCAGAGCTACATCAGGCCTTTCAACCAGAACTTCTACTGAGGAAGAGAATAATATACAACTGTTTCTCTGTGAAGCTGGCGGGCGGGGACGTGGGGGGGGGGGGCTGAGAAAATGTAATGCGGCTTGGAAAAGTTGATGCTGAGGTGAAACCTGAGGTCACCATAATCCCAACAACCCTGATGGAACGCTGATCTTAAAGCAAACAGTGCTGTCTCGGGCTTTGTGTCTGTCCCAGATGCCTGATTGGCCCCAGATCTCATTCTCTTCACTCTTCTGGTAAAAATCAAATGGTGAGCAAGCTGCAAAGAACCTTTCCCCCCTTTCCACCCTGGTGCCCTAGGCATCTCTCCTCTGTGGCCCTCAGGTGCCTGCAATGGATTCTGGAGGCCCCAGGCCGTCTTCACTGCTGGCTTTAACAAGGCACAGTACTCACAGCAGTGCCTCAAGGGGACAGCCTCCATCAACAGTGTGTATCTCTCTCCTTAGACCTTTGTACATCTGTACACCTATGTCCTCTCTGCCTGCAGACCGTGCTCTATGTACTGTTCTCTGTGTTTACTTTCACCCAGGCCTTTTATAATGCATCGAAATCGGCCCCCTTTTTGTAAATCTACAAAATGTCCTGTGTTAATTGTGAACCATTGCTTATTTTCATGTTCCCTTATTAACAGAGATGTTGCTTGTCCCCAGTTCTTCACAGCTGCAGACAATGGCAGATGAAAGAACTTCCCTTGCTTATGCAACGGAATGCTGGTATTTCCAATTTCTCCTCATTCAAGAATCGTTCAACACCCTTAACTGGCCCATGGCCCTCATTCTGACCCACCTCACGGTTACAGTCTTGCCGATCCCCTCCCGTGCCTGTGATGTATTTTTCTACACCTGCCTGTCAACTTACACTAGAAGCGCGCTCTTTCTCAGAACCCATTCAGTTTTCTGTAGAGTGATTCCCAGGCTCTATCAGCTTTGCTCTCCTGGTTATTCTCTTCTCACACTCCTCTGCCTGTGTTCTGTTCATCTAAATGCAACCTAATGGCTCCAGGGCTTCCCAGAGACCCAGAGAATCTATCTGAAAGCCAGTCCAGAGCTGAAGGCACAGGAATACCTTCTTCATGTCCCGCCATGTCTCTTCTTAGTCTGTTTCTTAGTCCAGGCAGCTTTCTCAGTCTTACTGCTCATCAAACCTAGACACAGGTGCCATCCTACTCTGTGACTAACCCTTCACACCATCCCTTATCTCTCAATACATGGGCAGCCACGACAGTTCATTCATGTAGTCCATTTTCTGAATATTACTTCCTGGACGATGTGTATACAGGAGACTTTATCTTTTCCCTCCCCATGCCAGCTCTGTTTTTTTGTTTGTTTGTTTGTTTGTTTGTTTGTTTTTGTTTTTGTTTTCTTTAGAGCAGTCCCAATACCAAATATCATCCTAGGCTATCTCATTTTCTCTCTTTATTTTCACTTTCTTTTTCTAACAATCTTTGAGATTCGGTAGTTATTTTTCGTTTTAAAATGAAAATTAGAAAGGTTGTATTTTAGTTAGTTGTTTTTTGTTTTGTTTTGTTTTGTTTGCACTGTAGCAAGCACCTGTCATAATCACCTTATAAGAGGAGAGGCTCACATTGCTTCCATTTTTAGGGGTTTCAAGTTCATGATTGGTTTGTGACTATGGCAGGATATCATGATGGGAATGTGTGGAGGAATTCGTCAGAAGAGCCACAAAACAGAGAGAAATAGAAAGTGTGTTAGTTACTTTTCTATAGCTGTGATAAACACCACCACCACAAGCAGCTTGGGGAGGAGAGAGTTTATTTGGCTTATATATCCCAGTCACCGTCCACTGAAGGAAGCCAAGGCAGGAACTTGAAGGAGAAGCTAGCCATGCTGTTTATTGGCTTATTCCTCTATGGCTTTCTCAGCCTGCTTTCTTACATATCAAAGGACCACCTGCCCAGGGATGGCACTGTTTACCATAGGCTGGACACTTTGACAGAAATCATCTATCAAGAAAATGTCCCACAGGCCTGCCTACAGGCCAATCGGATGAAGGTATTTTCTCAATCGAGGTTCCCTCCTCTCTGATGACTCTAGCTTTTGTCAACTTGACAAAACTTAACCAGCATAGGAAGGGACCAGAGTCACAGTCACCTTTCAAGGATACATCCCAAGGGATCTCCCACCAGGCCCCACTGCTTAAAATTTCTACCATTTCCCAATAACAGAACAGACGCTGAGGACCAAGGCTCTAACACAGGGGCCTGGAGAAGATATTCCACACCAGTGTAGCATGAGTCTAAAGATGCAGCATCTAAGTCATCCAGCTACGAAGTGGCGGAGTGCTGATGTCTACCCAGCTCAGACCGACTGCAAAACCGTGCCCTTCATTACCAAACCCATTGCTAAGGAGACTTGAACTTCCTACTCTTTTCCCATTCTTACATTCCATGGTTCATTGAAAAAAGTTTTGGCATCTAGTAGTAATTTCTAAAACCAACAAAACAGCATAATTAACTGTAAAGTAAGTTCTAAAACTCATGAATGGTTAAATGTAGACAATTTCATATTTAAGTAGAGGAGGTAAAAGACAAAGAGAACCTTGAAGAATGTTTTAAAAGGACTGTGGTGACATTTTATCTGTGCACCCCAACAAAGTTTATCTGAGGATCAGAGGAAAAAGTCAGCCACTATATTAAACATAGGAGTCAGGCAATGGTAGCACACGCTGTAGCTAGAGTTTTTCTGGTGCTGCCTGACCCACAGTCAGGACAAATCTCTCTCAACCTCCAGTCATACAGCTGCTCAGACCCAAGTAAACACACAGAGACTTATATTACTTATAAACTGTATGTTCGTGGCAGGCTTCTTGCTAACTGTTCTTATATCTTAAATTAACCTATTTTTTTTAATCTATAAGTTGCCATGTGGCTCGTGGCTTACTAGTATCTTAACATCTTCTAATGGCGTGGCTGGCAGCATCTCTCTGCCTCAGCCTTCCACTTGCCAGAATTTTCTTCTCTGCTTGTCCTGCCTATACTTCCTGCCTGGCTACTGGCCAATCAGTGTTTTATTTATTAACCAATCAGAGCAACACATTTAACATACAGAACATCCCACAGCAACACACCTTTAATCCTATCACTTGGGAGGCAGGGATCTGCCTGGATCTCTGTGAGTTCAAGTCCACACTGGGGAACAGAGCCAGATGTGGTGGTATGTACCTTTAATCCCAGCATTAACAATAAAGGTCTGGAGATCTGTACAAACAGGAAGTGACAGAGCTGGGCAGGAAGAGGAAGTGATATAGCTGGGTGGAGAGAGGAAATGAGATGGCAGAACAGAAAGGCATATAGGCGTGGGTATACAGGAAGTAGGTCTCTTTTTGGCTAAGGATCTCCAAGTGGTGAAAACATGGCTGGCTTCTTTCTGCTTTTCTGATCTCTTGGTTTTAACCCCAATATCCGGCTCTGTTTATTTATTTATTTTTATTAATAAAACCGTTTAGCAATTTGTCTTACAAAAGATGTTGAGAGAATTTTCAAAGATCTTTGAGACAAACAAGAGGCTTTTCTGCTTTAGCTTTAAATATTGTTCTGAAAAATATATTAAATGTGCTGGCAAAACCCAAAAAAGTGGCAGTACCTGGCTCCCTTCCCAGCGCTTGATCGTGTCCATTTTTCTGTCATGTGTATACATTTCTCTTACCTTGTTACCACCAGAACTATTTCCTGTTTGTTAACCATTATCAGACTCATTCTAGTCATGTGTAAAGCAGAGACAAGGAAGAGAAAGAAAATAACTCTGTGATAACAAAGTAAGAATCAGAAAACCGGAATAATTAAAGAGGATGGGTGAAGGGACATTAATGAGGAAGCTTTTTGCCAAGACGGAAAGACTGAAGCAAAAAAGCAAAAGCCAGAAACAAGGGAACGTCCTTTGGAAAGAAGAAAGGACGTGAAGACAAAGGAATTGGAAGTTTAGCTGCTCTCTGAAGCAGGGAGAGGTGGGGAGAGGAAGTCGAAGTCCTAGCCAGAAGAGGGAGGGCATTTGGGGGTGAACATTACTATTGGTGTGCTCGTTCATCCTTGGGAAGCCACCTCTAAGCTGGATCTGTGAGAGCATGAGCCTCGGGTTGGGAATTCAAAGAGGGATGCGCAGGCACCAGGCACCACTCTGCTGATGGTTTATTATTGCTCTTGTCTCAAGTCAGTATCAAGACATATCAAGTGTTACGTCAATGCTAAGTGGATGTTGAAGCCAAGAGATCAGGAATTGGAAATTCAACAACAGAAATTTGAGTAGTATCTTGGGAAAACAAAAGTACTATGTTTAATTTAATAGACTGAAAATGATTTTTAAAAAGAACTTATAAGTAAATTTTATCATAAATGGCATTTATTTAGTTTTTCACTACATTTTTATATCACTTTTTTTCTTTCCAGGAGTCTCGCAAACAACAATCTCCAGACACTCCCAAAAGATATTTTCAAAGGCCTGGATTCTTTAACAAATGTGTAAGAGGACCTAAGAAATCACTGATTAACTAATTTAAAATGATTAGTGAGATATTGAAGATTAGTATTTTTAATTGGTGTTAAAATTAGAATATTTTTAATTGACTTCACCCTTGAATCTGCATTGATTGAATGTTAGAATTCTTTATGACTTAGCCTGGGAAATTCTAAATGCACAGTACCCGGGCATTACTTTGTCAAAATGTGTGACTGTCTGTAAGGGGCGGTCATAAGGGTCACTGAGGGAACCTGGAAAGGGGAGACGTCCACAAAAATTTCAAGATCTCTTTTTTCTCACGAGGTGCAGGAAGTAGGGCTACAAAGACAAACACAAGGGAGTCTGGGAAAAATGACAGACTCAGATGAAAGGTTACACCCATGGGTTGGTCAGGCAACAGAAACGGAGCAGGAAGTGGGGGAAGGGAGGGGAGTTTGCCTTTTCTCTCATTAGCCTGAACAACAACTCTAGGCTTAATCCCCAGGAATTTGGCTTAAGCCCCAGGAAGGGAATGAACTTAATTATTTTTGACCCCTTTTCAAACAAAAGAGCTTTCAAACTTTGACTTTTAAGCTTCAGAGTGAAAGATCTTCGTGAGGAGGAATTTGTATATTCTTGCTGTAAGCAAAGCAAGTTCTATATGCCCAATCCTCCCCTAAGCAATTTAGTCCTTAAATCTCTTCCAGAACGTTAGCAGGGCATTTAAATCTCATAAAGTAGAATATAGGAACCAAAATGAAAACATGTATGAGAACTTTTTTTTTTTTTACTATCACTTACTTTGTTATTGAATATATAGAAAGAAAATTAAATAAATATAAATATATCATGAAGCTTAAATAACTTTTTAAGATTTTGATGGAACCAATAAAGAAGGTAAATATAATAACACACACAGAGAATATATATTTATATTGATATCTCCAAAACAGCTTTCTCTAATAACAACAAAACAAAACAAAACAAAAAAACCTGAGTTAAGAATTTTCTTCTAAGCCCAGAATTTAACCTCAAATCAAGAAGCTAATGAATCCTCTTTGTCCTTTGCAGTTGTCCCCAACTCCTCTGTCATGCCTTCTTTCCCAGTTCCGGAAAACTGATTTATATCCAAGCAGGTGCCAGAATCAAGAACCTTCCTTAAGACCCAGCACATCTCTTGTCTGCTCTGCTTTACAATACCCAGAAGGGCTGGCACTCTTGGGATGAGGTCACTTCGGGGAATGTTTTGAAAGTTAGATGATACCCCACGGCTGACTTGGGGTGTAGTTCATGCTGGGGCCTCTGTCTCGTGCTGTGTCAAAGTAACACTTAAAATCTGGCTCAGTCCCCCAGGGAATCCCAGAATGAGCTTAACCCAAATCAAGGATTATCTCAGAAGTACAAGGATTCATGATAACTTGTCTTTTAGTGGATTTCTTGTTGATTTTCTTAATGAACATATTCTTTAAAAATATTTAAATGCTCATGTATTTAAAATTATTTATGTGCTGCATGAAGAATGGGCAGCACCTATCTTCTGAATTCTGTGTGACCAGAAAAGAAATGGAAGACCTTCACAGAGGCAAAATAAATAAACAAACAGAAAGCTTGGTGAGTCAGGGCCATGCATGGAAATTTAAACTCTGCCATATAGTTTATTACAGGCATGGGCTATTGTAGGTATTATGTCTGCATTAACTCTACTATGGCAAAGTCATTTCTCATTAAAGTGGAATTTGTAGATCACTTTAATGGGGTCAGGATTAACTATGTCTATGAAGAAGAAAAGCCAATGGCTCACTGGATTTAATTAAATATCATACAGCAATCCTTACACTCTATCCTCTAGACCCAATAACATAGCTGCTGGATGCTCATAGCTACAGGGTCCCTAGAATGTCTACTAGTACAAATGAGGCACCAAATTTTAAGTTTTACATTTATTTATCTATCTAATTTTTTTTTTCCTAGGGATTGAGCCCTGACCTTTCAATAGGCTAACCATGCATGGCTACACTCAGAATCCTTAATTTTTTTAAGATTTAAATGAACTTTTTTCATCTTAATATATTAGAAAATAATCACATTTGGGACAACTTTGATATACGAATCTATTTTTGAACAATAAACTTTATAAACTCTAAGTACAGATCATGTATTTCGGATGAGAATTTAGCATCCAAACTGGGATATAAATATAAACTATACAGAAGACTTTAAAGATAATACCAAAAAAAGAGAGAGAAAAAATAGAGTATTGCTTAATCAATTTGCTGTGTTTATAGTGTTTATATTGATTACACACCCAGATGATGAAATCTTGGATGTGTTGGAGTAAACAAAACATTAAAATTAACTATACCTGTTTCTCTTTACATTTCTTTAGGGTCCCTATAGAGAAACGTGACTTATACATATGACTTAGGTGTTATTTCCATTGAGTCCACTCTTCTAGTCTAAGAAACCACTGAATGCAAACGAGAATAGGTTATGAGGCTCTTGGGTGGCCTTTAAGGGTGCTCTGTGATCACTCTGTGAGCCCAAACAGAATGGACAGTCAAGTTCCACATGGATGATAGAGCAGGTACAGGGTAATGCTGAATAAGTTGAAGACACGCTTGGGTCATGACAGGGCCCATGTACTGCAAATGCAGCAGAGGTTTCTGTTTCAGGGACCTGAGAGGCAACTCATTTAATTGTGACTGTAAATTGAAGTGGCTGGTGGAATGGCTTGGCCACACCAATGCGACTGTGGAAGACATCTACTGTGAAGGCCCCCCGGAATATAAGAAACGCAAAATCAATAGCCTCTCCCCCAAGGATTTTGATTGTATCATTACAGGTAATGTATGGAAACCCATTTTACAGCAGAAAATTGTTTAAAGGGCTATGCTTTTGCAAGTATAAAAATTGATTTTTTTAATATGTTAAGAACCATCTAAGAAATTTAATGTGTGAAACATTATGAACCTTTAAAACTTTATATGCTTTAAAACAGCAGAATTGCCATTTTACTATTTCTTTGAAATAAATATATTTCTTGTGAGTATTTGGGATCTGGCCAAGAAGTGTGAGGCATTAGTATTATCTCACATTTATTCATCTTCCTTTCCTATTTTTGCAGAATTTGCAAAATCCCAAGATCTACCTTATCAGTCACTGTCCATAGACACTTTTTCTTATATGAATGATGAATATGTAGTCATTGCTCAGCCTTTTACTGGAAAATGCATTTTCCTGGAATGGGACCATGTAGAGAAGACCTTCCGGAATTATGACAACATTACAGGTACGAAGAGCCTAACAATATTGAGTAGAACATTAAACTGCTTCAACCAAGAGCAACAGAAATGGAGGAGTTTATGAAGAAATGCTCTGACTAGTCTTAGTAGTGTTAACTCCAATTTGTTACTAAGAGACTTGAGATTGTGTGCTAAACTGTAGCTAGTCCTTAATTCCTTTACTTGTAAATAAGAAAAGTATCTAAATCACAGGTTTGTTAGTAAGGAAATGTGATCATGTATTTAAGAAACTTAGCATTAGTACTGAGTATACTAAATATCCTCTAAAAGGGGGATTCTTTTCCTTCAGAGTGAAAGCACGGAATCACAATGATTAATTCTAATCTAGGCCCTGTCATTATTTAACTAGACGAACCCATCATCTTCCCTGTATTCTCATTGTTCCTAACTGTAAAATAAGACAATAAAATAAACTGGGTCTGGTGGTGCTGATCTGGTATCCCAGCACTTGGAAGCTAAGGTGGGGGATCAGGAGACTGAGCCCAGCTACATTGTAAGACCCTGTCCCAAAATATACAAACAAACAAACCCCCACAAACCTAAGGGGGTATGGCTGGGGAGAGGCCTCTCTGGGTGCTGCACTGACTGCACAGGCATGGAGAATTGAGTTTGGATCCTTATCACCCTTGTAAAAAGCCTGACCTAGTGGCAGGCATTTGTTTGTAACTTCAGCACTGGAGAGCCCAGACAGGCAGAGCCTGGGGCTCACTAGCTAGGCAGTCAGGCCAAATCAGCGAGCTCCAGGTTCAGTGAGAGACCTTGTCTCAAAACAGTGGAGAAGCAGTTGAGGAAGACACCAAACATTGACCTGTGACCTTCCACATATGCACACATGGGTGAGTGCACCTCTAATACATATATGCACAAACACACACACACACACACACACGCACGCACGCACGCACGCACGCGCGCGCGCACACACACACACACACACACACACCACAGATACACAGGGGTGGAGGAGAACTGTCTCTAGCTCTAAGAAAGAGTTTGTATGGATACAGATGTGATTGGCACAAACACATAAATGAATATACACAGCACAAAAATATGGTTATAATTAAATCTGCTTGAATTCAAAGTAAGTGAATTAAATAAGAAAGCTATTTTTAGATCAACTCTCAAGCTCTGCTGCACCTTTTTAATAAAATGTTAATGTATCCCTTGAAACAAAAAGGATTCTGTGGTCCAATAAATCTATAAGCCATATCTGCCTCTTGGAGGTTCATAACAAATATATTAGAGATTATGAGAAATCCTGCAGTATGGAAACCCATTGTCAATGTTTTTCTTAATTTGTTCACAGAATCCATTTTTTTTTTCATGAAAAATGCTACTTGAGAGATCCCTAAAGTTTTGTTCCCATTTCAACAGTTTTTAAAATTATAAAATACCAATCAAAACAGTTCTGAAAGGTGTTATTTTCTGACATCTTGAACCCTGCTCCTAAGAATATCCTGACCTCCTCATGAAAGGTGACCATTAGCTAGGCAGGGTAGCACACTCTTGCCATCATTAGCTGGGCAGGGTATCACACCTTTGTAATCCTAGTACTCCGGAGGCTGAAGCAAAGGGATTATGAATTCAAGGCCCACTTGGGATATATAGTGAGACTATGTCTCCAGAAAAGGAGGGCAGAAGGCTTACCACCAGACAAGGTGCAAAGGGTTATAATTATTAATTCGATTTTGCCAGGAGCCATCAAGTCTATCCACCATCAAATGTCCAAATAGTTCTTGTTTTATGCTGAGGTTCCCCTGGATGTAGCAATCTATCCAAACTGAGATTCTTCTAGAACCCTCTTTTTCTCCAAGAAAGGTTATGCTTCTCTTTCTTCCTAGGTTTTCCAATGTGGAGCAGCTGGGCTCTGTGCTATCTAACCTGAGATCTTCTGATTCATGCACATCCCATCAGCCACTGTTTGTTTCAGGATCTTGCTGTGTCATCAAGGCTGGCCTTGAACCCACAATCCTCCTGCTTCCGCCCAAGTGTTAGAAGTACATACACGTGTCTCTGTCCTCAGCCTGCTCCCGATGATACTGTAGACTAGAACTTGAAAGGAATAAATCATCTGCTTGTAGATTTTCAGAGGTTATGTTTTAGATGACAGTTTAGTTTGTTCCTGCTACTGTAATGAAATACCCTACGCTGGGTAATTTATAAACAACAGAAATTTATTTCTTACAGATTTGGGAGCTGGGGAGTCCAACAAATGTAATGTCTTGTAAGAACTTGCTTTCTGCTTCAAAGACAGCCCCTTCTCTGTGGATATGCAGAGCAGAAAGAAAGACAAAACCGTTAAAACAACTCTCTCAAGCCCTTTTATGATGGCTCCATTGCTGACTTAATCACCTTCTAGAGGCCTCGGCTCATCAGGCTGTTGCACTAAGGGTTACATTTCAACATGGATTTGAAGATTTTCACATATTCAAACCATACAGATCATAAATAACACATCATATGATGACTAGTCTCTCCATCATGGACAGACATCGCTGCCCACCTGTGATATTATTTCTTGCAGAATTACATATGTCATCACAGAATCCTTCTCAACACAAGCTCTTCAAGCAGTCACAATCACTCAGTCAGTCTGTATGGGTACCTAAGATGAAAGCTGATGGCCATCCCTCACACACTCTAACCTTCATTGTGCAGAAGAGAAAACCGATCCCAGAGAAATTAAGTCATCCTCTTTAGGTTACATAAACAGTTTAGTTATGAAAGAAGTCTCAAGTAAGGTTCCTCTGCCTTTTTATTTTCTCCTACAGCCAGTGTCTAAAGTTCTAGGTCAATCTGGTCTACACAGTAAATACTTCCAGGCCAACTGGGGCTACCTAGTGAGACCTTGTCTAAATAAACGAATAGCCCAAAGACTCAGGCCCATGTTTGAATACCAGCTCTATCTTTTGGTATCAGAACTTTGCCCCTCTGAGTCTAGAAGAGTTTGCTCATCTAGAAAAAGAAAGATGAGCAGGCATGGTGGTGAGCACCTCTAGTCTTAGCATTTGGGAGGCAGAAGTAGGAGATACGTGAGTTTGAGTTTGAGGCCAGCCTGGACACAGCATAGCAAAACTCTGTCTCAAAAAAACAGATGCACAAAAAAAAAGATAAGAAAAGGGAAGATAACATTTATCTTAAGGTTGTTGGAATAATTTAATGATTTGACAAAGCGTATAGTAAATGTTCAGAAATGGCAGTTTTGAATCACAATTAGGAAATTAAATCAGGTATGTCAAGGAAAACAATACTTGCTTCAAGGAGTGAGAAGAAAGAGTTCAGGTCATATCTCTGTGCCCTAAATGTCTACAACAGGTTGAATGTGACATGGCAGCTTCATTGTTTATAACAAGGCCCCATGGATGTAAAGACCTAGAACCCAAGGACATTGCTGCTTGACTTTGGAGATTGGTCCTCTCTAACAAACCAAGAGAATCTCTCCTTTTAGGCTGAGTTCTGTGGAAGTTGTCTAACCCTAGCCTGTGTGTTTACATGTTCCAAAGAGGATGGCCATACAACTAATATCTCACTTGTCTCTCCTCAGGCACGTCCACTGTGGTGTGCAAGCCTATAGTCATTGATACTCAGCTCTATGTCATTGTGGCCCAGCTCTTTGGTGGCTCTCACATCTATAAGCGAGATGGTTTTGCAAACAAATTCATAAAAATCCAGGATATTGAAGTTCTCAAAATCCGAAAACCCAATGACATCGAAACATTCAAGATTGAAAACAACTGGTACTTTGTCGTTGCTGACAGTTCCAAAGCTGGGTTTACTACCATTTACAAATGGAATGGAAACGGATTCTACTCGCACCAATCCTTACATGCCTGGTACAGGGATACTGATGTGGAATACCTAGAAATAGCCAGAACACCATTGACCCTCAGAACACCTCATTTAATCCTGTCCAGTAGTTCCCAGCGCCCTGTCATTTACCAGTGGAGCAAAGCAACACAATTATTCACTAACCAAACTGACATTCCCAACATGGAGGATGTGTACGCAGTGAAGCACTTCTCTGTAAAAGGTGATGTGTACATTTGCTTGACCAGATTCATTGGCGACTCCAAAGTCATGAAGTGGGGTGGCTCCTCCTTCCAGGACATTCAGAGGATGCCATCACGAGGATCCATGGTGTTCCAGCCCCTTCAGATAAATAATTACCAATATGCAATTCTCGGAAGCGATTACTCCTTCACTCAAGTGTATAACTGGGACGCGGAGAAAGCCAGATTTGTGAAATTTCAGGAATTAAATGTTCAAGCACCCAGGTCGTTCACACATGTGTCCATTAACAAGCGTAATTTCCTTTTTGCTTCCAGTTTTAAAGGAAACACACAGATCTACAAACATGTCATAGTTGACTTAAGCGCATGAGACACCAAACTCCATGACTACCATCGGAAACTTTCTACAGTATGTGACCTGGATGAACTCAATGCATGATGACTCTTCTTATCACACTTGCAGGTGAATGCCTTTCAACATTGAGACTGCTAAAGCCAAGACTACCAGTATTGCCATCCTTACCTGTCCAATCCAGTGGTGTGGGAAGTTACCTTTTATAAGACCAAGTTTCATTCTGTAACTGTTCTTTGCAGTGAAGATGTGTAAATAAGTGTTTAATGGTATCTGTTACTCCAAAAAAGAAATATTCATATGTACTTTTCCATTTATTTATTCACGTGTTCAGAACAACTGCCAAATAAAATGTTTACATTTTCTTTCATATCCCAAAGGTAATTATTTACAAGAGCTGTTTGATTCTTGTTGATTGTATGTTGAGGAAATAGTTTTATATAATAGGATTATATTTGGATCAAGGATTTATGGTATGAATATTGAGTAAAGTTTTAAAAAATGAAAATGATTTCCCATAATTTATAAACATGTTTATCTGGGTTCTATTAGAGGATTTTGAACACTCGGAAGTCATGACTTTTAGGGACACTTTGAGATGAAAGAGTAACACTTTTAAATGAGAGGGAGAGAGTTTACCTATTATGTTAAGACTAATCGGTAATGAGGAGGAAGGCCATCCTGTCCCATCTGATAGCCTCGGCTGAAAATACCACTCAGCCATTTGATAGAAGAAATTTCAGAATTAGGATTGAGTAGCCCCTGATCTAGGACTTTCTAAATATCTAACTCTAGAGTCGCCTGACAGCTGGTAGATTGTAACTTTATGTACAGCACTTGCCTCCCATGTGCTGGCTCTGGAGGCCCCTCTCTGTGATGAAGAACTTTTTGCTTCTAGACACTGGATTTGCCATAACTGACCTGCCACACAGTGCCTACAAGGCTCATGTTTGATTTTCTAGATTCCTGCTTCTGGATCACTTGAGTCATTAGTAGCTTGTACACTGCCTGTTATGTACATAGTAGGCTCTCAAAGAATGTTTTTCAAAGCCTGGGTATATAGTTTCATGAAGTTCTTGTGTGGCATGTGTAAAGCCCTGGGTTCAATTCTCAGCACCAGACAAAAAAGCACTTTTGAGAACACGTGTGGCTCCCTCTCTTATAATAAACTGCACAAGCCCCTCTGACCTACCTAGTACTTACTGAGTACTTGTTGAGAATGTAGTGTGGTTGTGGGAAACTAATACGGGAGTAGGGTGTGATGCCTGCCCTCTGTAGTCTTAGAAAAATAATTGAAGTGGGCTAAAAGTACAGAAGGATCTATAGATTAAGCAATGAGTGTGTGAAGCATCATCTGAACAGTCTGGATTTGGAGTATCATAGGAATAGTAAGCATGACTTTGGGGATGCTATGCTCTTTGTTTGACTTAAGGGAAGATGCAATTTCAAGAGGAGGTTGTGTGGGGAAGACATCACTGGCACAAACTGTTGTGTGTGCTGTCTTTACGGAGGGCTTTTGAGTTTGCTTAAGTTCCCCACTGGGTGGAGGTGGGCAGACAGCAGCTTCCCAGGCCCAGTATAAGTCTGGTAGACTGAGGCATGAGGAGTCCCCATAATAATGACACAGTCTCCAAAGAGTCAACACCCTGGGTCATTGTGCATAAGGGCCAGATTTTATTATTCATATAGTAAAGATAACAGGTCTGGCTTCAGGGTTACAGGGGAGAAGGAGGTTTAACTACTTCGGATCCTGCACCTAGGAGAACTGGCCTTGGAACACCTCTTCTCTGTTCTGATAAGCAGCATTGTGTGCTGCTGGAGAATGCCTGCTTCGTACAGTCTGGGTAGAACTCCAGCTCTGCCGTGCATAAGCTTTGCCACAGGCAAGGAACTTGACCCACCTGAGCCCATTTCTCCATTGTAAAGATGGGCAACAATACCCACTTCCGGGGAGGAGAGAGTTAAATGAGAAAACACATGAGCAGCGGATGGTAGTTCCCAAATGTAGCCCCGACCACCCCACCCACCATGCTCTGTGAGACCCTGCCCCGAATTCATTAAGAGGTAGGCATCTAACTCACCTGTTATTGTCTGAATGGTTAACGACTTGCTTGTAATTCATTGACTGTGGTGAAAATGATACAGTTTGGCATCCATGCTAGGTCATCAAAACCATGAACTCTTTCTTGCCTTGTAAATTGGGACACTTGCCTGCAGAGCCCCAAACAGTGCAGAAGAAGTCCTACTCACCAGAGGCCATTGTTCTGTGTTGAAAACCAAACCCATGGAGCAATCACCTCCTGGTGCTTTGGTCAACAGGCCCAGCTGGTGTCACAGCCGACAGCCATCATCAACCACCAGTCCTGCGAAGCCTACAACTCCAGATCCTGCGGTCAAGGAACAACATGACATCAGACCTTCTCATCAGAAGGGCAGCCATTAGAGAGCAGCAAGCCATCCACAATATCCCTGTCCAAATTCGTGCCCCAGACTCTATGAGCATAATAAAGTGGTTGTTTTAAACGGATATGACTGGGGTGATTTGTTGTACAACTGCAGTCATCAGAAGGTACATAAAATACTTCTAGCAGAATGGCCTGTGTAAACACACTCTACTCCCAGCACATTGCACACTTTTGGATCACACTCTACCTTTTAAAGGATAGCTCCTTTTATCAATACCATTTCAGGGTTCTTACCTTGATCCAGCATTGTACCAGGACGAAGAGACTATGCCTCCTCAGTGTGCTGACCATTAGGAATTTACCTTAAAGCCTGAACCACAGAGCTGGGAGGTGAGCTGGCTGAATTCAGACTGTCATGCAGGCCTATCTACTTTCTGTTGCAGAAATTCAAAAATTCACTCTCCTACCTGAATGTGGGACTGTTGACAGGGCAAGAAAGGATTTAGGAGACAAAGAAAATAAATTTAAGACCCTACTGAGGTACAGCCTGCTTTTATAGACATTGGCCAGCTTTTTCTATGCTCCCCACCGACAATATCCTATCCAACCTCTACAACCCTCTCTAGCCACAGATGACAGGACCTGGGTGCACTCCCTGTTCAGGTGTGCAGCCCAGCCCGTTATGTCTCTTGGACATTTGGAATGAGGACACCAGTGGCTAGGACTTTTAGCACAGGCACCAAATATGCAAGGTGATAATCTTAAATCAGGGTTTCTAGAAGCAGAGAGATCTGCTGAGGGGGTGGGAGGAGCAGCATAGAGCAGGGAGGATGTTGGGCGAAGACAGATGCCCAGCCTCAGCCTCATCTCAACGGAGACTCATCCCATGGGGGACTCAAAAGCCTAAGTTTACTGCTGGCCCAAGGGTGCAGAGTCTCACTTCTCGAGCAACTTTAGAAGAGGTTTCAGTCAACTAAAGATAGTCCTCTAGAGAATGGCATCTGTGGGATGAGTGCGTGGACTGGGAATGTGAGTCTGGGTTGGGTACCAGGAGCCTATGCCACCACGACAGCGACCAAGGAGCTGAAGCCACCATTTCTGAGCAGTTGTGGTGGCCTCTGCACCAGGATGCTGGTCAGAAGACTAAGAAGAGAAGCAAAGGTGAAAAGCTGCAGAGTGTGTGGGAGAGAGCAGAGAAAGGGGAAGGAGGAAGAGAAAGGGTGAGAAAAGAGGAGAGGAAGGGAGGGCAGATGGAGCATAAAGGAAAGGGAGGCAGGCAGGGGGGGACAGAGACAGGCAGATGAGGAGGTGTGGGGTACCGGGGTAGGCTCCCTGACAACCAAACTGTGTAGGACTGTTGCGGGGGCATTTGTGGGGCACATTCATGAAGTCAACATCTGGGAAGGAGGGAATGGAAGCAGGATTAGGCAGAGGGACGGGATGCCAGCGAAAGCCCCTGATGGCTCTGTCTTGAGTTCTGGGATTGAGATGTCTCTTCTCAGTGATCCCAAGCTGGAGCAAGGGAACTCGCTTTATAGATACACAATCCCCTTAGATATGGAAGATCGCCATTCCGGAAGGAAGCATGGGATCAGGGAAGGCTGTGGCTTAGCTGAAGCCATCTGCAAAGACATCAACCAGCAGAAGCATCTTCTCACTGAACTCCTTGAAGCTAGACAGATACGGCCTATATTCCTGAAGAGGCGTCTTGGCAGCTCAACATGCCCACCCCACAGGGGAGAGAGGGAAGAGGAAGGCAGCTAGTCCGAGTTTTGTTTCCTGCGCCACACCTCAAGAGATCTGGGTGTGCTTTCTGACCCCAGTTATCTGAGATACTTCTGTAATCATCCAGTTCCCCCTCCACACACACACTTTTTATTTGAATCAATTTGAAAGATTTCTATATTGTTATCAATTATCCCCAACTAAAAATGTGTAAGCGAAATTTGCTGTGCTAGAGACGTGATGGAAGTACTAGATAGTTCAACCTCTCTCTGCGGTTCAGACTACATCATTTCTATCACTGTCTTCAAGTTCATGGACTTCTCTTGTGAAATTAATTTAAAAATTATTATTTCAACCAGAATAGGATTTTTCAACTTTTAAAACAAAATTTCAATGCATCAAAATGTTTTGGGCCATGGCAATTAAAAGACTTCTGATGTATTTTGAACCTGTAGATTTCTAATTATATTGTAAACCAATAGTCTTTGCAATTAAAATTAATCCAAATTGCTGGGGAAATGATCATATGCTTTGTTGCCATGACAATGCCTCAGATTTTGTTACCTCACCTCACACTGATTCTAAACCCGTCTTGTCTGGCGTTGGTCCTAAGAGTGCACCTGTAGGAACACCACACTAGCTAATTACAGTTTAACTCACTCAGCTCAGCTATTACCATAGTATGTCAGTCCTAATGGTGTGGTGAAGGCATTTTCATGTGATTGGTGCCTATGACATTTGGTCTTTTAGAGATGCCATGTTTTGAAGTTCTAAAATGACCCTTCTCCTCCTATCCCAGCATTCTTTGTGATTTACACACTTCTAGTTTCGGTAACTATTTTCCAGTCCCCGATCACCAAAGCACTACATGATTCTATGCCCAGGCTGCTCAGCCACCTGTAACACTCTTTCCCCAACTTTCCTACATTCTGGAATCTCTGTCCATCTCTAACCCATTACCATTACATGTGATTTTTCCTCTTCTGGTTTGCCAGCCCATTACTTTTACCATGAACAAGGGTCATGATTCAGTCTGCCATGATGTGGTTAGTTGCTGATATTCCATCTTTCCTTCCATGATTGCATCCTAGGCTCCTGCAACTCTTCCATCTCGTTCTACCTGAAGCGTAAGCTCCTGAAACACTGCTACCTGGTGAAGGACCCATAAAATGGGCAGAAATCAAATAGCTAGAGTACACTCCTGTCTGTACATCTAAGGAGCACCTCCTGCTTTCCAGTTAGTTCTCAGCCCCGCAGAGAATCCTGCCCATGGATCACGCACAGGTCAAGAGCAAAGGGGCAGGAAAGTTGACAGCAGGGCTTTCTTAACATCTATATCCTTTGAGATGGTCGTTCTAGAGAGAAACGCAGACCCACAGCCAGCTAGTCAGAGCATCCTCCCAAGCTGAGGACCTAAACGTCAATCTCAGCAAATCTGTGCCTTAGGCACTGGGACCTTTTATCTTTCATTTCCTTTACCCTGTGTATTCATATATACTATCAGCAGTTATAAATAAAGTACCCATAGCATAGAATGCATCCTTTAATATTTTAAATATAACAGGTGATGCTTAGTGGGTACTGACTATGAGCCAGCTACTATATTAAGTGCTTCTTCTGCATCATTATCCCCTCCTCTGTAATTCTAAGATTACAGCATTGTTTCACAGATGGGAAAGTGTTTAGAAAGGCTAGATAACTTGCTTATGGTTGTCTAGCTGGTTAAGAAACAAAGAAAGATTCACTTGGATAGTATCTATCACTGGTAGCATTCTAGGAACTGCCGGAGAACAAAATTTAAATTAAAAGTCCAGGACTCTGTAAACTGCCAGAGACACAAGTACACATTCAGGAACTCATCCCCAGTAGCACACTGGTAAGTTTCATACTTATGGATGCAGCAGGTTCAATTGTATTGAGGATGTTTTTTAAACACCTACTATGTGCAGCACACTGTGGTGGACGACATAAAGAAAACAAACCGTGCCAAAGTTTTCTCTGTCCTTAAAGGGTTTGCTGACATTTATAAAGCTTATTTATAAGGAGCAACATGCAAATCATGGACAAATATGGCAGAAATAAGTCCTTTAAGAGCCTAACAGCAATAGCAACCACGCCCCCCAGGAGTTCTGTGGTTTATAGGCCAATCCTGCTGCTACCCCCAATATTCCTCTTTCTGGGTCAATAGATGTAGTGGTAACACGTTTACAGTTAGGGAAACCTGGGTTTGTATCTCAGAATGTTTTTTTTTTAACTAGTTTTATGATTATAGACAAGTTAATTAATGTTCTATAAAATAAATAATGCCAATTATAGGGAAGGTTGGTAGACTAAACCTAAGCTTATGATTCTAAATGATCCTATTAGATGGCCACACTTCTTAAAAAATGTGTCTCTTTGAAATTTTTTTTACATTTTACGTGTGTGTATGTGTGTGTGTGTGTGTGTGTGTATGTGTGTGTGTGTGTGTGTGTTGCATTTATGGGGGTCAGAAGACAGTCCGAGGGGTCAGTCTCCTCTTACCATGTGGGTCCTAAAGATCAAACTTAGGTCATCAGTCTTGGCAGCAGGCACCTTCAGCCACCGAACTGTCTCCCTGTCTCTTTTTATTTTATTTTGAGTGTGTGTATGTGTGATGTGTGTGTGAGTACATGTGTGAGAGTGTGCCACAGCTCATGAGTGGAGGCCAGAGGAACAACTTTGAGGAGATTCTCTTCCATTAGGGGTCCCAGGGATCAAACTCAAGGCACTAGACTTGCACAGCGAACACTTTCACCCCGAGCCTTCTCTCGTGCTGACGTGGCGTCCTTAATAGCTCCTCATTCCGTGCAACTAGCGGTTCTGACTGGGACATGCACTGGTCCGTTCCAGTTTGTTCCCAAGGGTGGTACTGGGTAGCTGACCGGCTATGCCCTGCTGTGTGGGAGCTATAACAAGAGGGTAAGTGGAAGACTACTATATGTGGTCTCATCCTTCTCTGTGACGGCCAAGGATGTATGTGGGCTTCTGGAAGAGGAGATGAAACAAACCCCAGTAGGTTCTGGCATTACAGTCCATCAAATTTAGTAAGTGGGGAGAGATCTCAGACACCCAGGGTGAAGCACCAGTGTCAGTCTTGTGTTCCAACACAAACGACAGCAGTGAGGCAGGCTTTCTTGGACCGCCAGCCCCCAAATCGTGACACAGAGACTTAGTATTAATTATGAATGATCGGCCTTAGCTTAGGCTTGTTTCTAGCTAGCTTTTTTTTTTTTAACTTAAATTAGCCCATTTCTATTCATCTATTTGCTGCCCCAAGGCTCCTTCACCTCATCTACATACTGTCCATCCTGCTTTCCTGCTTCCTCCGTGTCTGGGTGACTGGCCCCTAGCCAGCTGGCTGGCTGGCTGGCTCCAT